TCATCTGAGCAACAAACTCATTATTCTGTGTTCAGTCGTTCAGGTAGGCGTTTTCGACGTTCTCGTACCGATTGAAATCATTGCTTCTTGTAAAGTTGGTCAATGATCTACCGCTCGACATCGAGGTGTACTACAAGACCGATAAATACATGGAGCTGGCGGGTACCGTCACATCTGGCGGAAAGCGTCTGTCGCTTCCGTTGCCGGTCGTTTACAATCCGTTTGGCGAAATCTACTTTAAGCCCAAAGACGACAAGTAAGTGATGGCATAAGTTTTTTGAATTCATTTCTATAGGCGCTGTCAGAAGTTTGATTTGCTTCTGTCACATGTAAAATTCCGTTCAGATACCTTGTGAATGCTTTTTGGTTAAATCTGACGCGTCGATGTTCATCGTTCGCACTGAGAACAACGTTCTTTGTGCTACAGTAGAATATTTTGTACAAGGCTCAGTTTCAAAGTTAATCAGGCCATTTTCATCAGATTTTGATATTTGACAAAAATATCTAAAGAGTGCCTACTACTGAAGCATGAATGGCGACGTGCAGTCACGTTTGCCAATAAACGAAGGCCATAGCATATCTTTGCTGCAGCTGCTTAAATGCGATGTAGCCGTGACATGCTTAATATGTTACCTATGCAGTTAGTATCGAGTTACTATACACAGATTTGGTGTTCGAGATATAGCTCCCTTAATGACACCACCTAACAGTAATACACGAGGTCAAATCAGTGCTGTCAGCGAGTCGCTAAGAAGATATGTGCAACCGATGGCCCGAAAAAGTCGTACCCTTGTTTTAAATACGCCGTTCTAGACGTGCTATTTTATATTAAATGACAAACAATAAAATGTGATTCAGTCGAAACAACATGAATCTTAAACTATTGTTCAAAAATGCGACTGAAATTCTACTATCCGTTTTCTAGGTTGACACTGCGTAGTCGTACCATCTTTCTGACGGTCTGGAAAGCTTCTTAATCAGACCGCGGTTTTATGTATTATTGCACCTGCAGTGCATGAATGCAAAACCGCACTACTTTGCTGAGCCGAACAAAGCAACATGCGACAATGGGCTGAGATATCATTACCCGCTGCGTGTATATCCCTACCCCCACTTCCGCCGCACAAAATCATTTTGTGCCTTGGTGATGGCTACTTGGTTTGGTCTAAAACCGCAGCTTACAAAATTATGTCCTGTAATCTTTGCATAAGAGCTTATTTCAATATTGGCATTGAGTCGGTTTGCTTTTCAAGAGATAAAGCAAAAGCTTTTACGCGACTTCATAGTTGTACAGCATGTTCTTTAGGTACGACGTGTCGCGAGAGTCGTTGAATCTGCATGCACTGAATCCGTCCGTACAGTCGTCGTTCCTCGTCAAGTGCGAACCCAGCTCAGAGTCCGGGGAGGAGTTCTACGTGGAGGTATGTAAAATTCTATGAATATGCGGGTCGATCGCATGGATGGTAGATGGTGTTTTTAGATATCATTGCAGCACCTACAGGCTTATTTTGAAAACACAAATCGAAGGAACGTGTTCACCAGCGCCTTCATTTTTTTGCTACGTCCGGCGCTGATGTTTCACAATCTTTTGCCGTTCGCGCTCGAGCTGTCTGTTGGAGTAAGAGGCTTAGGCAACGCCTCATCGCAACGTACGTGATCGGTCCAAATTTTTGCATTTTCAGTCTTTCGCACGTACGCTAAAGCCAGGTGAACTGCTGCCGCTGTTCTGCATTCATCCCACTCATTCTACGCTGCATCTTACGGTTTTACGTCTGTCGTTGTTTCGTTCATATTTCTTGACTGTCAGTTTGTAGGTTCTGTCGTCGCCAAATCTTAATGGCGAACTGAAACTGTGCAGTCTGTCTGAAGAACTGTCGGTTCACTGTTTTAAAGCGTCTGAGACAGAAATGGTGAGAGAAGACTTTGGGAAGTGTGCAACGAGAATTGTCGAACTGTTTTACTGTGCTTGTTTTTAGAATTTGGGTGTACGACGAAATGTTCGCCTCGGTACTGCATATCTGTCATTATTCTGCCCCGTATGGATGGTGAATAAGACCGGCTTAGAACTGACCTACAAAGTAGGTGACTGTTTCTTTGATTGGCATGTTCGCACTTTATCAATATAGTACCTTTTTTCATAGCTGACAAGTTTCGCTTTAGCGACCACCAGTTTAATCAGTTTTCCAGTAGTATATGAATAATTATGACAAAATATGTCTATACTGATTTTTACTGTCTGGCAGCCACTAGTTGCAAACATTTGTAAAAGGTGTAAATTTTCCTTCCAAGTTTTGTGAAGAAATGGCAAGTCATCTAAGTGGACTAATGTGGATTATTTATTGAGGAAAACGTCTGAACTTATTCAAGATAATACAGATACGTCCCTGATTCATGGTTGGCGGCACCAGACCACACGATTTAGACACTTTTGGTACCAGTCCGTTTCGCTACACTACGCTTCTGCATCGTCAGAATTGTCAGGCTGTTAGCCACCTTATATAAACAGACAAAATGTATCGATATAAAGTGAGTGAATAATCGACACCAGATTTTTACACTCACATTCGTAACTTTGAACTTTGGTGTCTAAAACTGATCACTCATTTCATGGTTCCAAAGTTTTCTCTTATAAAGTTCGTAATGGCACCTCTGCTTTCACTTTTCACCCCAGAAGAGGGATGTTCATTACACATACGATGTTTCTTCGCCAAAATGTGCATGAACTCCTTTATAGATTAAGCATGCTTTGACCGATCTTTGTCGATTACATATACATTCATCTGACTGATGGAGTGTCTTTCATAAAGGGCGTGTTGTGTAGTAGCAGAATTATCAGCATGTCTGGCAGATAAGTGTTGTTTATTCTCAGTGTATAATATGAGGCAAGTCTTTTAAACGTATATCTTATCACGGTCCCCTCCCTGGACGCTGTCAAACATTCAAATCCTCCTCCGGGTAGCTGCGGGTATAATTCTTTTATGGAAGCATCGCTGAGCGCATGCCTGTCTTGTAGTAGATCCAGAACCTAACTTTGTTTATGTATCATTTAATTGGTATCTGCCGCAGATATCTGCCGCATGTATGGTTAAACTTCTGTAGGTGTATTCTCACAAGTCTTCATCAAGTTGTAGCTTGAGTGCAGTAGTTCGCTCTACAGTGTCATTCTTGAATAATCATTCTTCAAGAATACTTGTTAAAGTTGTCGTATTCTTGCGTCTATGATGCTTATTTCCTACGTGCGTTAACACACGTTTCTGAAAAGAATAAGTGGGGCACAAGATCTCGAATGTAAATATCTATTCGAATGAGTCAGTTTCCGATAAGCGGAAACTTCAAATTCAAGTAATGGCGTCGTTTTCACAAGCACACCTAGGAATAAAACGTTTCGATTCACCTCGACTGCGGTAGTAAACCAAAAACGACCGTTCACTTCCTGTCTCTGTAAATAATCTGCGAAACTTTTCGGCTGTTCTTCGTCGTTCACGTCGTTCTTTCTTTGGAAAAGACGAAAATATCGTCCACAAGCCTGGCGTCGATCAACGTCAAGAATTCTACTGTGAATGCCCTAAAGTACCTTTGTTCCAGATAGGATAGGTATCAGATAAAACAACGCTCATTTCAGAGCCCATGGGAATTCCATACTTTTAGTGATGGTTATTTTGTGCAAACTGAGACTTTATGACTGCTTTTACAAGTCTCAATATTGGCATAAAACCCTCAATACGGCAGTCTCTAAGCATGCTTGCCGACGTTCTCCACTCATTTATCGTGTTCTTCAAAATGTCTCTTAGGGCACCATCAGTGTGTTCGTATCAAAGTTATTGAAAGAAACAGTGACGTCCAGGAATGGGATGAAGCATTTTTTAGTAATGTTCTTTCAGTCAAAGTAAATACTCATGACTCTGCTTTACTCTGTAAACCACCCTGCCGGCGGCGGGCTTTAGTAGCAAATCGAGCTGTTTTGAAATTGTGTAGGTTGCCATCTCGCTTCCTTGGGCGATTAGCAGGAGTGGAAGTTCCCGTTATGAATCTTCACCAGTTCATACGACTGAGGTGTATGGACATCAAGGAATCGTATTTCATGAATTTTGCATTGCATTTCAGTGCATTTTTCCGTTCTGAGGCAGACAGCAGAAAAAGCACAGGAATAATGGTATCATGTTTAAGGTCAGAGCGATGATTGTAATGCTGCAAACTATGAGATACTGTAGAAAATTAGTGAAATGTTGATTTCCATCAGAGTTTCTGATACCTGATTCGAGAGCTATTCTACTATTAGATTTTAAAAAACCACTGAGACTGGTGAACGGATATTAGAGATTAATGGCCTGGTTAACTGGTCTCAAATCAGTTTCAAAATGCAGAGTAACATTACCTCCGCGCCTGTGCCGCATCGATACGAAATAAATGAAATTAAGCAAGACCCTGAATGCAGTGTAGAAAATTGAGGCAGGGATGTTGCTGTTTGCACACAACCTTGTTTTTGACATCTGAAATTGACCTACAGCGCTCCCTGGAAAGGTTCATAGGCGAATGCGACGTTGTCTGCATGCGTGTAAACGATCTAAATCGAAGAGCCTAGTGGTCTCTCGTTCTGCTGCCCGCTGCGGTCTACTGATAAACGAAGAAGCAGTGGAACAAATGAAGAAATTTACGTACATCGTGGTCGTGTTTAGTGGTGATGGGAATAGATCGACTAGAGGAAGGGAATGGCTAGCGGCGTTCTGTATAAACTATCCCGAACCGTTGTGACTAAAGCAGAGCTGAGTCTGAAGACTAAGTTTTTGTATACAAGTCGATTTTCGAGTCGATGGCCTTCCTGATACCAATCGCTTGCCTTAGTCGTCTCAGCATGCTCCGGAGTACAGAAATGCAAGAAAGCCTTGGTGTACAGCCCCTACTTTTTCACACTGAGACTTCGCAGCTGTGATAGTTTTGGCACGTCTTGCCAATTCCCCTGAAGTGAAAACCAAACAGCTGCTACTTGCGCAACCGGCTGACGAAGACCCCGGGGGACGACCAAAACCCTGGCGCAAGTTTCTCGACACACTCCGTTCCAGATTGCGATTATCTTTTAACGAAGCTCAAATTTTGGTACAGGATCTAGATCGTCGTAGACACTGCCTGCCTCATATGCTTCTGTTTTCTCGAAAAGATGAGCGTTGATCGATATTGACCGACTGATAGATCTCAAATGCAAACAACCTTGTACATATGGGCATGTTACCGTGGTTAATAGGTTTACTGCTTTTAAATAAACAGAACAAAACAAATCTTCAAACGAAAGAACGCGGATATCTGAGAAAAGGTTTTGAAACAGTGCAGTAAAGGCCTGAAGCAAGCCTATGATCCAAAATTGTCAAGACTGAATGTGAAAAAGTGCAACGATTTCACAACATTCTTCAGTTCAGTTGTGCTTCATCTTATGTGACATAATGGTAGTAATTGCATTGAATTGTTTCATCATATAGGGAAGATTACGCTATATAGGGAAGGTTCCCGCTGTTCTGGCGTTGGTCGCAGCATTTATGCTGGAGCTGTGTTGTTTTTTTGCAAAACGACTCTGTCTCCCGAAGTTACACCATTCGGAATACAACTTCCTCTGGCCTAACCAAAAACTTTTCAAGGAAATACTTATTTTTAACAATACCCTGTCATAATACTAATTTGAGTTTTTTTTAAATGATGAAAGGCGCATGAATGGTTGTGCCAAGTAATTTGTTGCTGACAATATGTGCATTAGAGTGAACTGAAATGTTTTATCTTTTTCATAGTTTTAAATGTGGAACCTGATTTTCAGCCCAGCGATGTTGAAGCAGTTCGTCACTTTCCAAATGATGATCAACCTGTTCTTCTCAGTTTTTCCACGAAACTTTTTTTTGCGGAAAAAAAGGTATTTTTGATATTGGATGTTCTTGCATTAGGAGTGCGTCTCATATGATCTCTATGGCAAATTCAGTTATAAGATTGCGGTAAGACAGCGGTTATAACATCATGAAGAGAGCGTGAAACTGTTTCAGTCTTGTTCTTCCACGTTGCTTGCTTGTTTTCTCAACCATTCGCCGTGCTTCTGCTCTAATGTGAGAAGCTCGCTGGTTGCAGTGAACTGTTCATGTTCAGCAAGTTTGTGAATCGGATTCAGTTCAATTTTTCCATTACTTGTGATCGAGATGTTAGGGCTGTTCCTTATATGACGTTGCTATGTGAACCCGCATGTATTTTGAAGCCAACCCGTACGAAGCCAACTCGTTTTTGATCTTTTGGTACAATGGTACAGCGGCCTCAAGCCGTATGGCAGCACTAACCTGCCCCAAGAGAAGGTTGAAACGGACTTTTACGAAAAGGATCTTTTGTCAGCCCAGATATCTGATAGACTACAGGGACACAGGAACTAATAGCAACCCTCTTATTTAGCTTTATTTGACTGATGCCATCGCTGAAGATGACGAACTTATGTTTGAAGTGCTCTAAGCACGGTTGTCAACTTTTCAGCCGCACAAAACCGGCCTTCTTAAGGACAGGCTGGCTTTGACAACTGAAATAAGGGTTTTGTATCATCAGCCTTTGTCTTGCTCCCAAAACTGTTGAAGCGGAAAAATTTACAAGTTTATAACGTAGAATCAGTATAAACTTTTGAAGTCATTTAAAGTACTCTGTTTCCTCCAATCTTTCACCATGCTGCGGATCTGTTTTGCTGGGCGCGTTTCTTATAAATTCTGTTGTTAGTGTTGGTGACGAGACCATATTCATGTATTGCACATCGGGATAATATCGCCTGTTTACTGGTCGCAGGATATCTGGCTGTATTTTAAAATTCGTTTCCCTCCAGAATGATTATGGTCATTCATCAGATTAATACTGCTTCGATCAACATAGTATAGAAACCCGAGAATAGTACTTAATATTAAAGCCAAATTGTCTCTTGTGTAGTCGAAAATTACTCTTACACTGTTGAAGTGGCCCTCCTTTAATTTTATTGCGATGTATAATTCTTCTTTTAGAGTTGAGCCGATTTATACAGATACTATGTAACATTTTTAAATTTTTGCACCACTGGACGACGTGTGGGTTGAATTCAGCTTTAAAGTTTATATAATTGGATCTGAGATTATTCAAATTCTTTATTAATTTTGCAGAGATATTTATGCTGAGTAGATACCTTCCGTCGGAACGTTTGCCTTTTTTGGGCGAAACCTTTCATGAATTGCCTCCATTGTCCTTTACAGAATGATCGCAAAAAATAGGTTTCCAGAAGATGACAATAATGGGACACCTGTACTTAAAGCTAACGTTTTAACTTTTAATTTTAAGCACTGATGCAATGAACCAACATTTTGATTCTCCTGCGAAATGTTTTATGCCTCTAAATAGTGGATTATGGATCAAAACTTTTCTCGGTTAGATTTCCATCCACTTCGCCAGCCTACGTTACCTTTTGTAATAAAGCATTTTGAATTTTTTTCTACTGCGACGGGATCTGCGCTCATCTCTATACTTTGCGAATGGCTCATAACTGGCAACGTTAAATCTAGAGAACAGATGTTGGGGAGCTGCCAAAAATGTACAGTCAGGTTTTCAAGTGACGCTGCACCGTGCTCCGTAATGCAGTAAAGTCAAGTTCGATTCATACTTTTTACCTAACATTTTACGTCAGTGCTGTAAAAGCTTCTTTTACTGTGACTGTTCACCTTTTCACAATCTCGATCTCTACGATTATAGATTTACAGAGTTCGGCTGTCACCATTGTCGCCCTCCTTTTAACTGGCTGACTCACACTTTAAATTATTCACATGAATCATTGCAGAAGTAATTATTTCATTATTAAATAGTAGCAGTCGACTGATGCGCTAATTGCATTTGCAACATCTAAGAGGCTCACAGATTATGCCTGCAAATTGTTACTTGCCTATAATTAAAGATATGATGCTAGAACGCTTTAAATTTTAACATCAGTCGTCGGGAAGCAGCGGGATTAAGCAGTACAATACTTCCAGTTGGTATTTGCGAAAATTTGCTGGCCGCACTACCGACATCCACCACACGACTATTGAGTTTGAACTGAAATTAAGGTATCATTAAAATTCTGTATGACTTTAGGAAGTCGGAAAATGATGCAGGAAATTTTAATAGCAGATGCACATTTCGAATGTTACTGATTATTCATTATTTTAGGTATAATAAGGATGGGCAAAATATCTACGGTACATTTTTAACAGTGCTTACTTTAAAATACATTTAAAGCACTTTAAATTCATATGAAACGATGCGCCGTTTTTCTTGAAGTATCATAAAGCTACGGCTTATTTAAATGACACCCTAGATTTTCTTGGTTAGGGGCACGTAGTGTACTAACACAACGTAGGCCGTCGATTTACCCATGTCGAATCATGTTAAGAAAATCGCACAGTTATTTTTGTGCTTTCTAGGGCTCGTCCGCTTTTAGTCTGCTGAAACGGGTATGCAAGATTCTACCATTTAGATCTCATAAGTATCTTTCGAAATTTTCGGTTTAGTTGGTTCACAATCTTACTAGTCACTGTTCACTCAACTGGCAAAAGGATAACAAGAAGCAACTCATTGTACCGATTTGTCGTTGTACCCTAAAAACTGTTTATAATTTAGATTCAGCTGAAAGTTAATGATTCGCAGTTCTCTGATCCGTTTCCAATCGATACCGTTGGCAGCGCTGCAAAGATTTCGGTTCCTAAACCAAGCGGCTCACCGTACGAGGTATCACGACGTACATTTGGCTGTTTTATATTTTATTTTTAATGACGTTTTTGTATGGCTTTTGCCAATACTGTTCCATCGTAAAAATAGTATTACCTAGTAAATGTGATTTTAACTAAAACTAATAGTTATACTTGCGCTGTTTCATGTTTTATAAATCGTTTATTTTTTAAATCTATAGAAATTTGAGAGTATTTAAAGGATGCTTTGATCAGTGGTGAATATCTGTTTGTGTATTATGTAGTTGCATTTGTCATCATTCATCTTTAGGGGACAGAGTGAACGTAAGTGATAGAAGTTGAATACCAAATGCTCTAAAAATTATAAGCAGCCTGTTGATGAGCCACTTCCAATTGGAGTAAGGTGCCACCGCTCAATCAAATCAGCATCAATAGTCTGTTATTCTGTTCCCGGTCCATCTCTTTCCGAACGTGAGGTTCAAAATTACTTCTTCCATCTGAGGAAAAGTGTCTCGTTTTGTCGTAATAAACTTCCAGCGGTGTTCAAGACGTTTTCTTTGGGAGTAAGTGTACCATTGTACCCAATGCGCTGCCAGTCTGCAAAGTGGTAGTACTGATTTGAACGACTTGGAAAGACCATCCCTGTGCTTTATTTCGACCAGTCCAAGTATCTGGACAATATAAGCCCATAACTATGCCATTCAGTAATCTAAAAAATGCTCGGTTGCCTCATTTTTACTGAACTTGTGAAAGACCCCGCTGGAAGCTGTATGAGTTAGCTGTCGCAAAGGCTGAGATTTACTCGGTACTACCCGTATTTTTATTGATAATGCTACTCGTTGCAGTGTATTGGTGTGTATTCAGGACACATGCTCTTTTGTGACATCATGTCAGCTTGTAATACTGTTTCAAAGGACAAAATGGTAACTCCTAGTAGTGGATTGCTTCATTGTCTCCCAACTTATCATTTGACTTTTTTGCTGCTTTCCATATTGAGCGTGGTTTGTTGAAGCTGAAAGATCCACTTACCTTCAAAACTGAACGACCTTGGAGTATTACAAGGTTATGTTCTGTCACCTGATAATTTCAGCGTCCATTTCAACCTGAGTTGCAGGTCGCATACGGTTGTGTAAATGTTTTTTTTTTAAATTTACGTTGTGCTGATTTGTAGTCAGCTCTCAGGTGGAGCAAGACGAATTGCAGCCGTAAAGCATCGGATCTCGCATTTTTAACAGAAAACACTTTTGCTGCATCAGAGCATTATGCTGTCCCTATTATTCACGTATCATCGACCTATTGCCCGTTTTTTGACTCCTTTCACAAAAATAGAGTAGGCTGAATTTCTTGCTTAAGGAAATTGCATTTGATAACAGAAAATGTACGCCGCTTGTTGAATTTAAAGCCGGCACTTTAACGTGCGAAGCAACTGCTGACCCATTACACCACTGCCCCTCGCCCGCCGATGCACCGTTATATCGAATGCTTACTTGTATAAATTTCAGTTGTTTCGAAAAACGAAGATAATTTTTCCAAACAGGTTTACGATTAAACGCCTTAAAAATCAAACAAATTTTTCTCTGCAGTGCCTGCTGTAAGTACTTCCTGGACAAAACTAAATAAGCCGTTTATGTTGGAAACTGCAAGCACACACAAAGATCAGGTAGCTAGAAGTGACACGGAGAGTTGGTATGAAGTGACCATCCAATATTCGGTCACTTTTCCTAGCGATTCTTCGTGAGTCTTGCTGTCTGCATTGGCTCGGTGAGATGCTTTCAAGACGATTCATCGACGTTTCTGATTATTTGCGTCAGACTGCTGGTGCTGGTGAATCTGACTAGTGCTTACTTTTAGCTATTCAGGCGTACCCTTCGAGCAGTATCACACGATTGGCATTAGCCGCAGTTTTTGCTTCGGCTGTAACTATTCAGATGTCGACTGTTTCCCGTCGACCTTTGAAAAAGTAGGATTTTGCCACATCAAAAATGCTATTTGTTCAAACATTTCCAGGTTATCCCTGTCGTAATCGATTATCGTAATTCCCGTGTATATACGAAAGAACTGTAGTG